AATAATAATAATAATAATAATAATAATAATAATAATACTTTTGTACTTTTACTTGGGTACGACTTTGAATGCAGGACTTTAACTTGTGATGAAGTATTTTGACATGAATTTATTGGTACTTTTTCTCAAGTGAAGCATCTGAACACTTCTTTAACCTGTGCAGCTATACAACATGTGAAACCACAGTAAATATAACCACACAGCTGATCAGCACATGCTCAGTTTTTAGTTCTGCTTATTGATGAAGGTCAGGTCAGCCTAAACACTCAGCTTCTTTCTCCCTTGTAAGACTGTATTTATTTTCTCTATCAACTGAGAGCAGTGGACTTGAGACAAAAAACAACGGCATGCGGAAACTCCTCTGTGTGAAATGCAAATATAGAACTGAGGAAATAAAGTCACGTGTGTGTGTGTGTGTGTGTGTGTGTGTGTGTGTGTGTGTGTGTGTGTGTGTGTGTGTGTGTGTGTGTGTGTGTGTGTGTGTGTATGTGTGTGGAGCCGTCTATCTATTCCATTTAGGTATGTTCGAGCAACCTGCACATATTGTTATCTCATCAGAAGTTTGTTGTTGGTGACTGTGAACTGAAAATATTTGAGATGCATTTGTTCAGCTTCTTGTTGAGGAAGTCAACAGACTAACCACAGCACCTTTTTATAACACGTGACACTTGCTCCCCTTGTAAACATCAGCCTCAGTGTTGCTTAGTTTCTTTTGTAACCAACTTACATTGTTTGTGGTTCGTGTCCTTGCCACTGTAGATATGTATGAACTGTTTGTATTGTTTTTATTTTATGATGTTTATACTTCTTTCCACTTTTTAAAGATTGAAAGATGTTAATGCCTGAACACATTGCTGCTGTAACAACACCATTTCCCTCAATAAAGTATATCTTTCTCATACTCAGGCTGGACATCACTGCAATTACGTTTCCATTAAACACTGCAGCTCTATGCTGTGTTTACTTTCTGCTAAAGTGAAAGTATTTCCTGGTTCAGTTCAAAGAAAAGAAAATATTCATATCTGGCGCCACGTAGTGTCAGAAGATTTCTGTCCTCTGGTTACTCTGAGTAATAAGTAATGTGATGATGACTAAAGACAGACTGTATATTTTCTAATGTGTGACCTTTGACCTTGTGTGTGTGTGTGTGTGTGTGTGTGTGTGTGTGTGTGTGTGTGTGTGTGTGTGTTTCCTCTCACAGGGAGAAGATGATCTTCCTCCTCCTCCTCTTCCTCACCTCCTGTGTCTCTTAGTGTGTCTCTTTAAAGCTGTTCTCAGTAAAGCAGCACATAAAGAGGTACATTTTGTAAATGAATCCCTATTTCTATACGAGTGGCTTTGACTCTTCTGAGTGAGTCATTTCAAACCAGGCAGACTCTATGGAAAGAAAGAGGAGAAACAGAAATGCACTTTTAATCTCTAGTCTCCATATGATGATCCTTAGTGGAGGTGCACATTCAGCTCTCTGTAACGCTGTGATCCGTTGATGGAAATACTGAACAACTAAAGAAAAACCCTAGTTGATGATTATTTCAAACCTTTATGAAACTTACTGTTTTGTTCAGCAGGATAATCTCCACATATTAACACCACTTTATGATTGTTAGCGTAAAAGAGAGAACTACTGTATAAAGGAACTACAGCACGATCACATTTCATTTATGTTTGAGGAGCTTCAGGTGAGTCAACTTTATTCTGGAGTTTGAATGGACTACACATGTCGGCTGTCGGGGAGGAATCTCTCCTGCTGATGTTCAGGTGTATATCAGTATGTAGTGTCTCTACTTTAAAGAGTCCTCACCTGCTGATCTTCAGGTGTATATCAGTATGTAGTGTCTCTACTTTAAAGAGTCCTCTCCTGCTGATGTTCAGGTGTATATCAGTATGTAGTGTCTCTACTTTAAAGAGTCCTCTCCTGCTGATCTTCAGGTGTATATCAGTATGTAGTGTCTCTACTTTAAAGAGTCCTCTCCTGCTGATGTTCAGGTGTATATCAGTATGTAGTGTCTCTACTTTAAAGAGTCCTCTCCTGCTGATGTTCAGGTGTATATCAGTATGTAGTGTCTCTACTTTAAAGAGTCCTCTCCTGCTGATGTTCAGGTGTATATCAGTATGTAGTGTCTCTACTTTAAAGAGTCCTCTCCTGCTGATGTTCAGGTGTATATCAGTATGTAGTGTCTCTACTTTAAAGAGTCCTCTCCTGCTGATGTTCAGGTGTATATCAGTATGTAGTGTCTCTACTTTAAAGAGTCCTCTCCTGCTGATGTTCAGGTGTATATCAGTATGTAGTGTCTCTACTTTAAAGAGTCCTCTCCTGCTGATGTTCAGGTGTATATCAGTATGTAGTGTCTCTACTTTAAAGAGTCCTCTCCTGCTGATGTTCAGGTGTATATCAGTATGTAGTGTCTCTACTTTAAAGAGTCCTCTCCTGCTGATGTCCAGGTGTATATCAGTATGTAGTGTCTCTACTTTAAAGAGTCCTCTCCTGCTGATGTTCAGGTGTATATCAGTATGTAGTGTCTCTACTTTAAAGAGTCCTCTCCTGCTGATCTTCAGGTGTATATCAGTATGTAGTGTCTCTACTTTAAAGAGTATAGTATATCTTTAAAAACTAAGTCCCTTTCTATCAGCTGTGCACCGTTATGGTGTAAATATAACCTATCTACTAATTGGATCAAATATAAAAGTCAGCCGTATTAGTATTGATACTGCAAGGAGACGTTTTTTGTGAAAAGAAATGTAAGATATTGTGTAATTGTTGATATATTTATGATCCACGTCACGTATTCAGTTTTGGCGGCACTTCTTCCTGTTTGTCCAGAAGTCTTCTCATCAGGGCTCTATAAATAAAGAACTACGGCAGATGTGTAATATGTAATGCAGCCGAACCGTGTATTACAATGCCGTTATGTGATGACTTTCAAAGAGAAAAGCAAGAACACTCGGAATAAAGTATTATTTTATTTTTTAATGTTTTCGGATTTCACATCGCATAAACACCATCTCCCAACGTGCATTGCGGCTAAAACATCCAATCAGCGAGCTGAGGATCTTTCCTACATCTGTTTCCGGTATTGTTCCTGTAATGAGAGTTCACATTTATGCTACATTGAAGGGTGGAATCGACTACACATCTTCAGAAACATAATTTGCTTCAGATGTAACTCATAGCAATATTGTAACCATTAAGAAAAGCCAACTGCATTAAAAACCCAGTTAACAAACACAAGGTAAAGTATTTTTCCTTCAGTAATGAAGATGTAATTCCAATGTAGACACACCTGGGGTCGCTGTTCAGTCTGTTACGCTGAGCCATGCATTGTCTGGAACGTAAAAGGGACGAAGAAGACAAAGTGAAGTGACGTACTTCCGGTTCCACATGAAAACATTCCCAGTGCAAAAACAAATCGCTAAATAAAAACATAATAATTAAAATACCACAAACATGATATTGACCAGTATACAGATTATGCACATGATTTTGCAGATTTAGCGTTTTTGCGCCATGTCAGTTACCTGTGTTGTTGTGCGTCATGTTAAAAGTAGCCGACTAAAAACTAACAAAAAACGTTTTTTCCACATCTTTGTTATTTTTCTTCCCTGAAGCAAAATTATTTATTATATAGTTTTAAATTATCATTTGAATAATAACATATCATATAAAATATAATCTCAGGCACAATGAAATGAAATAAATATATATAAAATAAAAATAAAATAAATGTGCAGACAGGGGAGCTCCGTACCGCCTGCCTGCCGCTAGGGGGTGCTGCAGCGCCCTCAGCACCCCCCTTCCCGCGCCCCTGGGCGATTACCATTTTGTTCAGCAAAACGCCTCACAAACTTATTAAGATCAACAGATTTAGTGCGTTTTGATTCACAGCCAAACTTGACAGTCTCTTCTCTGTCTTTGTAGACCGCAAATACCTCATTCCTTCAGTACTTGGGTCCGAATGCTTCTCGTTTTGCGCCATCCCCCCGTTCAAATGAAATCGCCGCCAATCATATTTCCAAACTCGCGCTAGGGCCGGGGGAGTGGTTACAACATACAAGGCTCGCGTCTTGTGCTGCATTCACTTGCGCTCGGACATTAGAGATTTTCTCTCATAAATGTCCGATGAGCCACAACTTTTCTTTCAAAACAAAGATGCCAACCGGGGTGGCAGCTGGGGTGGCAAGGCTATTTTTTAGGGTGGCAGTTGCCACCCCGGTAGATCCACCCCTGAAGCTGGGCGAGGGGAAGGGATCCCGGCGAGAGTTTCCCAGAGCAGTCTTCGAGAGAGTCGCTTTAGATTGTGAATAGTGATGGGAATTATGGCTCTTTGAAGGGAGCCGGATCTTATGGCTCCGTTCCTTTCAAAGAGCCGTTCAAAAGAGCCGTTTTTTTAAAGGGGTCGGGGTGCTAGGTTTATCTGCGAAATAATCACCAGGATAATGATTGACTGTATTGCCAGACCTAATGTCAATAATCTGCATTGTAAACATGACACAAGGTGGCGCCATATCCATGTCATTCATGTCAGTAAATGTACTACTTTGAATTTACCCTCTGTATGTGTTAAGTCAATAAAGTTGCCTTGCATGAAATTCACGCAACTCTTAATATTAGATACTGTGTTTTTAAGTGGCGATGGAGATTATTTGTTGACCCTGCTTTAAAGGATATTTTGCCTTTACAAATGGTGCGCTTTATCACTGCCTGGGTTTTGTTTGAAGTGCATCCAAATGCTGCTGCGTTTTCGCGTTTGGCTCATTTTCCATCCGAAAAACACGTCGTCTACCTGTCCTGTTCCACTTGTTATGACTTCTCTCTCTCACGTATTCCCTTAAGACCCACCCCATCTCACTCCTCGTGCTGAAACCTACCAATCAGAGTAGGGGCGGGTCTTCACAGAATACGTTTGGGGAACAAAATCAAGCTTTTTAAGGCGAGTGGATTTTGGCAGGCAGTGAGTGCGGACCAACGATTGAACGATAAAAAGAACGGCTCTCACCAAGTACGATTCGGTTCCCCTCGTTCGTACCAAAGAGCCGTTCAAAAGAATCGGCTCGTTCGCGACCGACACATCACTAATTGTGAAAGCTATGTGTGGGAGAAAACCAGACGTGAAGTATCGTGGCAGTTACAGCCGTTACTGATAAAGCAGCCTCAAGATTAAAACCAAATCTTAGATAATACTGCAGGTGATGCTCGCGTTAATCGGTCATGCAAACTTTCCATTTTAGTCAGTCATAGACAGCACACATTCATTGAAGCTTCCACTTTTTAGCTTGAAAAATACTTTCACTACATACATTCCCCATGTCACTTCTTCTTTTGGGAAAAACTTCATGTATTTGTTTAGAAATAAACCAAATATAATTGTAAAGGCTGTTATCATAGGACATGACCATACACAGTACCTGGACAGCTGCACCTGCTTCCTAAGCAGGAGTCAGGAGGGAAACATGCCGAGGAGAGTCCATATGCACTCCATCCTGCTACTCCTATGGATTTTAGGAAGATCCCTATTATACATACTTTATCGACCTATTTAGACTGGATGTGATTCTTATAAAACTCGCCCCTCTTCAGGTGCAGGTGAATTCGTTGGGACCGGCTGCCTGTCTCCGCTCCATCGAATCCTTCCAGATTTATAAAGGTACCCTGCTGCAGCCACAGCAGCGACACTCGGGATGAACAAAAGGCTGAATAAGATCCAACAAGTAGTCTCAAGAATGGTCACTTCCATTGATGAAAAGTAGACCTGTATGGTGAAGGGCATCGTCATGGCTGCATGTTGACAGGGAGAAAACATATTTTCAGTGAAAATAAAGAGTTTATATAATACTTTTCTTCATCAGAGGTTGCAATGACGTTGCATCTTTGTTTACCATTAGAATAGATCTACTAGAATCTGCACATTAAAAAGGTGAAGTTGGACAGTAAATACTGCACTTCTTCTGAGTTTACTCACCAGTGATGTTGAGCCAGCATCTCCTAGAGTTACTCTCATCAGGTCTGACGAATATGTCACACCGATAACACCCAGAGTCATTGGTCCTGAGTCTGGAGACATGAAGTGTGAGGCGTCCTTCTGTGAGGACGTCTTTGTCCCACTGGACTCGTCCTGCAAACTGTGGATCCTGAGACTCTGGGGATTCAACACCTCCAAGGAGATGAAACAGGACGTAGGATCTGCCTTCAGTTAACAGCTGACAGATGGTAGAGATGGATCTGAGTGAAGTGTCTGTTCTGGTGCTGAAGGTCCACTCCAGGGTGATGTTCTGGTTCTCCTCTGCCTGATAGGAAGTCTGAGGCACATTCACTACAAATGTTCCTGTGGAGGAGACACAGAGGGACTCTTTAAACTGCAGCTATGTTCCTGTGGAGGAGACACAGAGGGACTCTTTAAACTGCAGCTATGTTCCTGTGGAGGAGACACAGAGGGACTCTTTAAACTGCAGCTATGTTCCTGTGGAGGAAACACAGAGGGACTCTTTAAATTGCAGCTATGTTGCTGTGGAGGAGACACTGAGGGACTCTTTAAACTGCAGCTATGTTCCTGTGGAGGAGACACAGAGGGACTCTTTAAACTGCAGCTATGTTCCTGTGGAGGAGACACAGAGGGACTCTTTAAACTGCAGCTATGTTTCTGTGGAGGAGACACAGAGGGACTCTTTAAACTGCAGCTATGTTTCTGTGGAGGAGACACAGAGGGACTCTTTAAACTGCAGCTATGTTACTGTGGAGGAGACACAGAGGGACTCTTTAAACTGCAGCTATGTTTCTGTGGAGGAGACACAGAGGGACTCTTTAAACTGCAGCTATGTTTCTGTGGAGGAGACACAGAGGGACTCTTTAAACTGCAGCTATGTTTCTGTGGAGGAGACACAGAGGGACTCTTTAAACTGCAGCTATGTTCCTGTGGAGGAGACACAGAGGGACTCTTTAAACTGCAGCTATGTTTCTGTGGAGGAGACACAGAGGGACTCTTTAAACTGCAGCTATGTTTCTGTGGAGGAGACACAGAGGGACTCTTTAAACTGCAGCTATGTTTCTGTGGAGGAGACACAGAGGGACTCTTTAAACTGCAGCTATGTTTCTGTGGAGGAGACACAGAGGGACTCTTTAAACTGCAGCTATGTTTCTGTGGAGGAGACACAGAGGGACTCTTTAAACTGCAGCTATGTTTCTGTGCTGCTTTACTGAGAACAGCTTTAAAGAGACTAACTGAAGCTAACCAGAGACAGAGGTCTCCTCAGGTGAGGAAGAGTATTAGGGTATGAGGGAAATAAAGAAGAAAAGGACTATTTTACTTTTTTATTTAGCATGTTAAGAAAAAAGCCAAGATGTCGAGTAAAATATCAATCTTTCAATTTGAGTGCAGGCATTAGGAAAAATGTATCAGAAAAAACTTTGCACTTTTAATAACAAACTACTTTTGTTAGAGAATATACTGAAAGCTCCACTTCTTGACATTTTGATTTAATAAAAGCTAACTCAAATCAGAATCCCCCTCCTCAGTTTTGACCCTCTTGCCTTGCACTAATAGTGTTCCATACCAAAGAGCTCTAAGATGCTTCTTTGTGAAAAGGTAAAACGTGACACAAAAAGTTTTTCAATAATATTCATTGTGTCTGAGTGGGAAATAAAGGAGTAAACTAACCAGAGACACAGGGGGTGAGGAAGAGGAGCAGCAGGAGGAGGAAGATCATCTTCTCCCTGTGAGAGGACACACACACACACACACACACGCACACACACACACACACACACGCACACACACACACACACACACACACGCACGCACACACACACACACACACACACACACACACACACACACACACACACACACACACACACACACACACTCTGTCTTTCCCACATTACTTATTACACAGAGGACTGACACCAGGAACAGTAACATATGTCTGTCACTAGGTGGCGCCAGATATCAACATTATATTTTCTTTGAACTGAATCAGGAAATACTTTCTGCTTTGAGATCAGAGAACACAGACTGAAACAGAGGACCAACTGAACCCCTTCAGTTTTGTTTCAGAATCTCTCTGAACAATAACAATAATAATACAAATAATTAGGGCCCGAGCACGTAGCGCTAGGACCCAACGGCGTCCTAGCGCTACGTGCGAGGAACCTATTGTTATTATTGTTATTATAATAGTGAATGTGTGCTTCGTGGGGAGAAAGAGACAGCTTTTGCATTCAGAACAATTATAGTAGGGAGACCAGGGACAGTTGCAACACGGGTCGGTTGTAACACCTTCAATATCTCCAATCACAAACAAGCTAGAGTGATGAAACTCACTCGGCACATGTGCAGATAGATGGTCAGATCGCTGAGGTAAAATATTAACTACAATTATATGATGTATTTTTTGGATACTGTCTTGAGTTCAAATGTCTAGGAATCCAAACTAGTATTATTAGAATCACTGTTTTGTAAGCTACAAATATAACTGAATATGGGTCAAGCTAGCAATCAGGCAGGTTCACAGGGTGGTCCTGGGACGGTTGTAACGGGACGGTTGTAACGGGACGGTTGTAACATGGCACATTTACAATGATGGCTCATTTGCTTGAATGATCAATTGTTCATTCAAGCATACAGTTGTATTGTTGATTGGTGCATTGTCCCTGTAAAAATAAACAGAATAAAATACTGTAGGCCTAAAGTGTGTGTGTGTGTTTACAGTATGCCAAATGTCAGAAAGAGGAAGACAGACAGGGGAGTGCCACTTGCTCTGCTGCAGAGGGCCTCAAATGAAGTTGAGAAGGGCAAATCATTCAGGGAAATGGCAAAGTCCCTGGATATATGCCATGTCACCCTGTACCGGTTCCATACAAAGAGGCTGAGGTTGGAGAGTCAGGGATCACAAACACCCCCAAGAGTAGGCTACTGGACACCAAAGAAGGTGTTCTCAACAGAGCAGGAGATGCTTTTGAGAGACTATCTGATGGAGGCAGCTGATTTATACTATGGTCTCAGCTCAAAGGAGGTAGGTCTACATACTGTAATTAAGGTAGAAGCACCTCGAGGCTTTCACACCAGCGCTTTTCCCTTTCTAGCTCCGAGCGAGAGCTTTTCCGGTTCAGCTCCGGTTTCCCTTTTCAGCTCCCGCTCTGTTCACACCGCCCAGAGCTGCCGCTGCTGCGTCATGACGTCACAGTTTACGTCGCTGATTTTCTCCCACAACAACAACGGGCCGGGGACTGCATCGGGTCGATGATCGTGTTGCTTTTAATCATACGAAGCCAGATTCAATTAAATAACGACTTCTCCAACCTTATACTTTTCTCCAGAGTGCCGTGGTTCATTGTTTATTAATGTGTTTCAGCGGCATTTACCGACCGCTGCAGTGCTGGCTGCTCTTCCACGGGAGTTTATTCTCCCGTTAGCTCCGGGTTAGCTCACACGGCTCTAAAGTATTCACTGTCTGACTGTCACACAAGCAGCTGATACATATCCCCAGTTCCCCTTAAGTGAATGTGTGTCAGTCTGAATTGATGCTGTTTGGCATCACAACGCTGTTATGAAAGTTTCTCTGGTATAACATGGGTGATGTTAGCATAGCAACCGAAGCTAAACTGACTACTTGCTAAGCCGTTTTCTACAGGCACTTTTTACCGGCGTATTTTTCATTATGATTCTACTTGTGATAGTCGGACATGACAACCTGTGCAGCCCATGTATTGATTCCATCCGATAGCTGCTATAATAACAAACAAAACGTCTGCCTGCTCTCCACAATGATCAATAACAGCGAACGGATGGTCAAAGTAAGGTTTCCTGCACGCCTCGACGTAAGAGACGCCGCATCATAGCTCCGGAGCTCTTGCCTCTGGACCGACAATTTTTTGGAGCTGGAAGTGAACCGCATTCCGGAGCTATGACGCGCCGCCGCTGCGGTGTGAACAGGAAAAACCGGCGCTTTTCCAGCTCCGAGCAGGAGCTGGAAAAGCGCCGGTTTGAAAGGGAGAACAGTTTAATCCTTCACAGAGGATGATGCTGTGTGTTATCTGTTATCCTGTTCATTGTTCATTGTTTGTTGGAGGATGTGTGAAACCCCATTCAAATCTTGTTGCCTTAGAATTTGACAGCTTTCCCTCTTTGTTGTCATGTAGTGTGAAAAAAGGTAACCGTTATTAACATGTTACAACCGTGCCTGGCATGTGCTACAACTGTCCCTGTACACAAGGACAGTTGTAACAGTTGAGTTTTTAAAAAAAAATACATTTTCCAACCTGTACTTATTTCATAAAAACATATTAAATACATTGTTTCAGTAGCTGACATATTGATAATGTATAATATAGCAAAATGGCTATCCTATTGTAAATGTTTTTTTACTTATTGGGGAAAAGCCCAAAAAGTGTTGCAACTGTCCCTGGTCTCCCTATAAGTGGCATGTCTTGTTTTATAAACCTCTTCTCATATTTTAAAATCTGAATTAAAAATGCTATTCGTGCTCATGATATAAAAATTGGAACCAATGTTTGCTTAAATAATAATAATATAATGTAACCTTTAAGTTACTTACATTTGTATGAATATATTCAATGCGCATATTATTCTTCAAACTGTAAACTGTTGAACTAAAATAGACAATTAAGATAGTTGCATGAGAATAACCTGAAAATGAAGTAGTATTTTTATACATTTCTTTATGATCACATATACCGGTGTGTAGCAGAGTGTTTTAGTTTTGTGCACACACAGACACTGCAGCAAAAGCAGATTAAACCGGAGGTTATATCCGTTAGTCACAAAGTTAGGACAGTTCCTGTTTCTGTCCTCTCTGCTGTAGTTACACGGTCGGAGTGTGTCGGAGAGGATTTGGTCATTTGAGACAACAGCCTTCACACATGGCTCTGAAATGTTTTCCCCTCACGAAGCACACATCCAAGTTTATAGTTGTTTATCCAACAACAACAAAAAAGGTCACCCTTAATTTGTAAAGTCCTTTTTGGCATTTAAATGTATAACAAGGCGTTAATTACACATGTTTTTTGTTTATCTTTTGGTCTCATGTGATTCAGACATTAGGCAGAGCTCGTTCTCTTATTTACAGAAAGGCACATTTTGTGTTTGAACAAGGAGTCAATATCTTTCCAACTCGTTCTCTTATTTTAGTTTAATGTGGTGCCTGTTCTCTTATAAGAGGTTCAACAGGAGAGCAACAGAAAGCAGCAGTAAGAGACATGTCCTTAATAAAGTAGAAATATGTGTTCTTACCGACTGCAGAGACCTCAGTGCTGACAGCTCTGTTTTCTGGATATCATGGTGAATATGTCCGATGAAGCTATAGTTGGTGTTTCAACGAAACTATCATTCTCAATACTGAATCTGTGAAAGGAGTGTTCCTGCTGTCGATTTTCTGTGGTTCTTCTGAGTATGTACACATCCCGTCCTGGTGTGAAGCATTCACTTTGAGTAGGCGTAGTTCAGGCTGAGGGGAGGAGAGAAAGTCCTCCGACACACCCTGTACCCCAGTGGTTTAAATAACGTTCAACACGTATCTTAGTTAAAGAAGAAGAAGAAGGATCAATGACCTTACAGCCAAATGATGAAACTCACAGTGACTGAAATACATAAATATAGATATAACACTTTACAGATGTTACATGGGGGATGTATGGAGTCTCATTTACTGATGTGACTGATAGATGTCATGTTTCTATCTCATTGGCCTCAGAGCTGTCTGTCTGCTGGAGTCCCTTATTAAAAACCTGCTGCTTTCTGTCTGAGTAGTGGACTGTAAGACCCTCGTTTATATATCAGTTTGATAAACTGCTATGTCCAAGAATGAAAGGCTACGGTTTCAAAGTCAACAAATACATTTATTAATGAGATAACTCAGATGAACATAGCACTATTAAAGCACTAAACTGTATTTAGTAAGCTGATAAAGATTTATTTCAAAGTGAAGCTATTGATTGTGCAGTAAAAACTAAAGAACTTAAAGTAAATATATTTTCCATTAAAATCTAGTTAGCGTACTGAAGGTCAAAGCATTGATTGTCCAGTAAAATATAGTAGTAGTAAAATGTAATAGTAGAATTACTTTTCTGTAAATGTATTTAAAGAAAAAGTACTGATCATGCAGTAAAATGTACTTCAAGTTTGTGCAGTCAAATGTAGTTAAATGACTCAAGTAAACTTACTTTATACCCTGTTGGCTATAGTTTGATCTGCAGCAGTGTTTCATATTCTTTAAGATCATCATATGTTTGTATCTCTAAAATTCAACTTTTCATGAGTTTCTCAGAAAACCTGTGTTCAGATTTGTGACGAGGCTGATCCAAGAGGCTTTTTAAGGTTAACAAGGAGAAGTTTCTCAACTCATGAAGCTCAGTGCAAGCTCAACCAGGAAGACGGTCTTTATAATCTGTCATTCACATATTTCCATTTGACTACGCTCACTTTCGTCTCTATTCAAAGCCACAGCACATCGTCAGACCTTCAGTCATTGCAGGTGACTCGACCGCTGCCGTGGTTTTTGTGGGTCCCGTTGACTCTGCACTGCCAGTCATTCATTTCATTTTTCCTTTTTTACCTGAATACAATGTTGAACTCCCTTGTGTGACCACATTTCACACCATCATGGAGTCACACAAGGGAGTTTGACTTTGTGTCCACTTTGTGCTCAAGCAGTGTTAGAAGCACATTAAAGCAAGTGACATTAAAGCACAGAAACATTTAGAATAATTGTTTTGGCCATGACGTTGGTGTAAAGTAACTAAGTGTATTTACTCAAGTGCTGCACTTACTGTAAGTGCAATTATTAAGTACTTAGTACCATGTTATGCTACTTTGTTCTTCTACTCCACTACAGTTCAGAGGTAAATGGTGTACTTTTACTCCACTACATGTATTTAATACCTTTAGTTACTTTACAGATGTGGATGAATGATGTGAAATATAATCAAGTGTTAAATCAGACTTTAGTTCCACCTGGAGTAAATCCACAAGCTACCCTGCAGTATACAAAGTCATTCAAACTAGCTGCACCTTTACCAGCTTCGATAGCACTTCATGTTAGAAGTGTCCGGTTGTTTCTCTGAGCTTCGGCTACTATTATTTATTTGTAACACTTTAAGTTTGAGTAAATTACCTGAATGAGGGTCACGTCTGTGATATTGCAAACCTCTCCCCGTATGTGACAGTCCACATAATATAAAGGCTCAAGGCTTTATATTGGAATGAACTGAAGACTTATGACCCGGCTTAAAGGACATGCATTCTTTAAATACCCATTTTAGCTACTTATACAGGGTGTTTTAAGGGTTCACCAAATTAAATGTTAATGTTGTATCAATTGATTGATTGATACAACTAATTGGTGTTAGCTTACAGCCTTCAATTATCTGTGATTATATCAATTTTGTTCAGTTTATTTGAGTATATAATTCTTATAATTATACTTAATTAGATTAAAGTGATCTGGACCAGGAAAAGTGACTTAAAATGGATGGATCAACAGATAAAAGTTAATGAATTGATTCAAGTTTCTTGAAGCTTTTGCTTGAATTTACATGAATCCCCTATTATAAGTCAATAAGCCTCTTAAGCTACTGTGGCAGTCAGGCTTTCCCAAACCATAACACTGAGGCCCCATTTACACGGGAACGGAAACGAAAACGAACAGCATTCGATATCAAAAAAGTATTCCGTTCACACGCAATCGGCTCAATAAACGTGTCCGTTCACACGAGACCGCTCGACCCGCTGGAGAGGTTGTAGTACATATGCCGGGCTTGTAAGTGGCGCTGTACTTCTGCCACAAAATACACCAAAAGCAGCGAAGAAGACCTCACGAGCATGGTTGCCATGGTTGCCTGGTTGCCCTTCTGTTTAATCTCCGCGGTGGATTTAGCAGCATGTAGTCAGTGGCCCAGCAAGACACTCTGGGGGACGCAGGCAGAAAAGACATGCCACCCAACACATCAATTACAACCGGCAGCAAATTGGTGGATAAATCAGAATAATTAGCAGTGATCTTTTGAATTTTCTGTGCACTTCTATGTGAAGTGATTGTTTCAAATGGAGATTGCAATGTGACTGCTGATTTCACCGACTGTGATTACAGCAAAAAGTGAATAAATAAATAAACGCTTTGGGTTTGTTGTGTGTTTTATTTTTCCCATCACATGACACAAAGACACGCAACCTGCTGTTAATCCAGTGGCATCTAGTGAGTTTCAAGGCTTTTATTGTCATGTGTGCATAGCTACGGTGTAGTTATGACAATGAAAATCTTAGGTCACAGTGAGTGTCTAAAATTTGAATATCTCACCAACACTCGGACCGTTTTACTTCTCGTTTGCCGTGTGTTTTGCTGAGTACACGATGGATTTATGGGCCCAGCTTGAGGCTATTTGGATCAGCGGTTCTGTAGAAACCTCAAGAAAAACAGTACGCCCAGCCAAACAGGTAACGCCTGAACTAAGCGGGAAAAGTGCTAATAGTCGCAAGTAAAATCCTTGCACGTTTATCCGCGATGTTATGAATACAAGTGCCTGGAGCGGACAAAAAGTGGTCCAGCCTTTTAACTGAAGACGTTTCTCTTACGTGTCGGTCAGTCTGAAATTGGACTTTCTTTTAAAGTGTTCTTCAAACCTTCACCAGAAAAATCCAATGGGAATTTTACTTAAAGTGGACCTATCATGCTTCATCACTCTCTTACTGCAAACTTACTTTCTGCAGGCGGGTAGCTTTGGTGCCAGAAATCCAAGCTCACTTGTTTATACGTGCCTGCTAAAGGTACTTTTGCAAGGTTGACTGGCAGCTGATCAAAGGACAAACAAGCTTTCCTTGTTGCAACCATGTTTCTCCCCTCAGCAGATTTCTCAATGTCCTTTCCCCATGCCTCAGGCATCTGCCTGCCACACTTAGTTCCTTCCACTTTTTCCACATGTTGAACCTGCCTTTGTTTGTGGCAGATACATGGCACACTTCCCTGCAAGCAACAGAGACAGTTACTTGACGTTTATTGTACAACTGCAGCAGAGTGCTGAAAACATCAAACATTTAATCTTGGAATCTTTTTCAAACCTTACCCTTTATAAGTCTTACAGCAAAATGTCAAAGCACAGGAGTCTGCAGACACACGCCTCTCAGTCGTGGGAAAAGTGTGACCTTATGCAGTTTATTGACAAAACAAAGATGTGTCAATGCAGTGCTGAGGGAAATATCGTACAGACCCTGATATAATTATTACTCAAAAGTAAGAGGATTAAAAAAAAGAAATGGGAATCTGTCAAAGATTTCATTCTGCAAATGGAAAGCAAATGACCTTGGGAGAAAAAATAATAGCTGACACTTCAAAACCTGATATCTGATTTGCATGTTGATTTACATTTACTGGAGTTGCATTTAATTATTTCTTCTCATCATGTGCATTTGTCTGTTCTTGCAGAAGCGTTGGCCTTTATATCTCCCTGTCCTGTGGGTACAGACAGTCAGCTGTTGGCTCAAATCAAGTACATTTAGCTCTAGTCCTATGGGTGTTTGACTGTATAAAAACCTCCACCTGGGTTTCTTGTGCAACCTGGAAACCACCAACATGCACCGTGAGAATTTTCTCAGCACCCAAGTCTACACATTCCAACCGCACAGACCGTGATCATGAGCAGTGCAGCCTGTTGAATCTAGTTCAGCCGTCAGACACACTAAATGACTCAGATCAAAAAAAGACACGCCCTATACGTATTTATCAAGGCGTCTGAGAGGACCTGTCCTCACACTGAAGAAGAATTTGCATGAAGAAGGACCGACTGCTGGTAATTACACATTAATCTCATGTTTGAACTCTTGTTTCTCACTCAGTAAAGAATAAGAAAAGAGAGGTCTGTGTGATGTCTAACATGGCTTTCTATTTACAGGGAGAAAATGACGTCCAAGATACTGCTGCTCATCAGCCTGCACTGCGTTATCTGTAGTGAGTTTACACCTCCACTTTATGACATGCAGAGAGACATTCTGACTTCACAAATACACTGAGGTTTTCTTTAGGGCGTGCAATGTCAGTCACTTTCATTCAAACATTTATTCACATCACCTTTTTTTGACATTTTGCTGAGAAATTCATGCACCTTCACAGGCTCTTTTTTAGTTCGTCCAATACTTTGATTCATGAACATAATATATGTGAAACTACTACATTAATAAGCTTCATTTGTGCTTTATTTTAAGTGCTACTTAGCTAATGTTAAACTAAAATAAGGTGGTAGCAGCATGCATTCAGCTTAAAGCCTATTACAGAGATGTTAGCATGTCTTTTTAGACTCAATTTACTCAACATGTATATCTTTATTTTGAGACATAAAATATACAAGATACTTTATACGTATTATAAAACTGTTGCCTGAATTAAAAACTTCAATTTTTGCTTCATTGAAAGTAGTCATACTCAT